TTGTTGCAGAGCAAACTGCAGAAAGCCTGGTGTGATGTGGCCTCGTCTAACTCAAGGGGAAAACCCAGCCCCACGCGGCTGCGCAGGGACACGGGGAACGGGAGGCGCTCACCCAGCTGACCACGCTCTGCCACGGCCCCACTGGGGCTGGACGCAGCAGACACGGCGAATCATGTGTTTAAAACTGTGACGAGGCTGCCTGCCCCTTTTGCTCTTGTGCTTTTGCTGTTTTCCACCACCGCGAACTGTTGCCCCTGTGCCATGTGCCACCCTGCCTCGGAGCCAGCTGAGTATGGACTGAAACCTACACAAACTTGCTCGCCACCCTGGCCGCTGTTGTCTTTTTTTTTTTTTTTTTGCCATTATCTGAGAGCTGATTACATGGAATAGGTGCTTCTTGGGGTAGTTCTTAGACAGGGTCTCACTTTGTAGTGCAGGCTGACTTTGAACTCTTATGCAGCCCCGTCTGGCCTTAAACTTATGGCAATCCTCCTGTCTCAGCCTCCGAGTGCTGAGATTACAGGCATGCTCCACCACGCCCGGCAGTCAATGCACTGGGCTGTCAGAAGTAAGAAAGACCTGATGCTGGGAGAAGCCGGCCAGACCCAGACCAGGCAGATGAGAAATGAGGTCCGGAACAGCAAGGAGAAACAAAGGCAGAGGAACGGGCTTCAGCCACAGAGAAAGTGGAGCAAAAAGGATCTGAGTCCCTTGAGAGGTCAGTCCTGCCAGAAAATCCAGATTCTCCGAATTTTTCAGATGTGAGCTCCTAGCACTTTCGTTTCTGCTGGCCTGGGGATGCCCCCTCCGAACGCCTGAGGAAGTTCAGGAACTACAGAATACAACACGCCCTGCTCTGTGAGCAGGAGGGCAAGGCTGCTGCCTGTGCTGCTGAGCGTGTTCCGGCTGTCCTGCTCCTGACGCGCTCTAAACTCATACTTACGTGGGGTCCTGCATGTTTGAACCCATTCTCACAGCTGCTTTCAGTATTGCTTTTGGTGCTGGGAATTAAACCCTTGTGCACCTCTACCCAGCCCCACAATGTGTGTGTATGTTTTTAAGTGTGAACATTTTTATTTTTTGGTACCAGGAATCGAACTCAGGACCTTGCGCTTGCCACACAGGCGCTTATGCCACTGACCTATATCCCTGACCCAGTGTGAACATTTTTAGAAGACTGCTTTTTTTCAATATTGAATAAATTAAAGTTCTTACTCCCCTCCCCCACCAAAAAAAGAGAACTGTGAAGAATAAGAAAGAAGATGGGGCAGGAGAGAAAACCTCCAAAAGGCCCCTGAAGGCCCTGCGCCCAGCCCGCCTCCCTCGGCTGCCTGGCATAGCCAGCAGGGCTTGGAAGCGGGCGGGGGGGGGGGCGCTGGGGGCCGGGCTGGTCGGCCCAGGACGGGGCCTTCCCTGCTTGTGGGGTGGAGGAAGGAGAACGTCTGTCCCACAAGCGCGTTCGGGACTCTGCCAGGCTGCCTGGGGAATCGTGCCAGGGATCCCGGAGACCACAGCCTGGGTGAGGGGACTGTGTGGGCACAGGGAAGGGGCACACGGATCACTGTGAGTTCAAGGCTAGGCTGGGTTATGTTTCGAGACTGTCTCAAGACACAAGGCCAAGGAGAGAGATGGCCTGAGGTAGGCAGGATGGTTCACCCCACAACCACTGTCCCTAAGAGCAGGACCTCCAAGATACGCACTCTGCTTTTGCAATTTTCCCTGTTGAATGATTTTGACTGTCGCTAAACTCAAACTGACAGCTTCTGGAAACTTCCATGCACACACCCTGTAATTTTTGTTTCTCTCTGGTGCGAGGCACGTGCTCTACCACTGACCTACACTCCCAGCTCTCTCTGATGTTTCTATAATCTGTAGCAGGGAAATCATATAATGAAGTTTATCAGATGTGTACACAGTACGCTGGATAGAGTGGGATATGCCTGTAATCCCACCTACCTAAGAGGCTGAGGCAGGAGGATTGCAAGTTTGAGTTCAGCCTGGGCAGCTCAGCAAGACCTCTCAAAAATTTTTGAAAGGGCTGTGGCTGAGTGGTAGAGAATTTGCCTAATGTCTTCAAGGCCCTGGGTTTGATCCCCTATAACTCCTGTTCCCCTGAGAGTATGAACTAAGGAGGGAGGCTGAGTGAGGAAAGCTTCAGGCCCTGGCGTCCCAGAGAACAGGGCTTCCAACCTCAGGCCGTCGGCACACCGCACACTCGAGGGTATTTAGGGCTCATGGGCCTCATCTGCCTGCTGCCAGCACTGCCCTCCCTCCCAAGGGGTGACAGGCAGATTGGCCCTAGACATTGCCAGTGCCCCTGGCAGGCAGAATCACCCTTGGGCGGGAATCACTGCTGGGTTTTTTGGTTTGTTGAGACAGGGTTTCACTATGTAGTCAAGCTAACGTTGAACTCTCTTATATAGCTCAGGCTGGCCTCAAATGCACAGCGATCTTCCTGCCTCAGCCTCCTGAGTGCTGGGATCACAGGTGTGCACTACCAAGCCCTGCCAGAATCACTGCTTTGAAGATTAATCACGGTTTTTCAGCACTTTAGGGATGTGGGTTTTTTTTGTTTTTGTTTTTGTGTTTGAGACAAGGTCTCACTCTGTAGTGCAGGCTAGCCTTGAACTCACTGATGTAGCTCATGCTGACCTCCTTGTGGCAATTCTCCTGCCTCAGCCTCCCAAGTGCTTGGATTACAGGCATGAGTCACCACACCCGGTGGGTTGTGGGTTTTGTTGCATTTTATTCTGGTTCTGTTTGGTTGTGACTAATACACTCACTTCTTTATTCGTCTACTATTCTGTGAAAATTGTGAATCTGTGTGTTCCACTGAAAGCATAAGCTGCGCTCCTTGGCCTTGGGACTCACAGAATGGGGGATCTGCACACACGTCAACAGGCTGCAGGGTCAACCCAGACTCTCGGCAGGCATCGCCTCCACTTTCCGGCCCTCAGCAGCTCCCAGTTAAGAAGCCTGCTACACAATTCCAGAGCTCTGCACTCCATTCCTCTCCCACCCCAGCCTGGTCCACAGCTGAGCTCTCTGCTCAGCCGGCAGGGCTCTCGGTCTTCCAGGACCCAGCACTGCTATCCTGGGCCTCTCTTCCCTCCAGGCCCATCTGCCACCTCCACCTGCTGCAGGCCGCTGGCCCCGGGCCTGCTGGTTCCTGGCCTGGCTGATCTGCTCCGAGTGGAAAACCTCCGCCCTCAGCCACTGCGTGGTTCCTAGAAGTCAGGGCCTCCCAGAACTGGAGGCCACTTCCACTCAACAGCCTGCCCTCACCCAGCACCCCCTCTAATGCCCTGCCTTGAATGTGGCCCTCACCCCCCGCCCCCCCTCCCAGGCTGCCCTTGCACGCCCGTACCCCAGTGCTTCCGGTTTCCTGGTCTTTTCCAACACACTTGTATCTTTCTAAGCATTTTCCAAACCCTACCCACCTGCCGCTCAAAATCGTCCTCGACAGCTCCACTAAAGCTCCCAAAACGAATTTTAGTCTCAATCTCTGTCCCTGTCTGTCTCGGCAGCTTTTTAAATTTTGACACAGAGACTCTAAACCTTGCAATCCTCCTGCCTCAGCCTCTCAGGGTGCTGCGACACAGGGGTGTGGTACCCTGTGAGGTGGGATTTAAATCCCTTGTTCCTCCTCTGGATCCGATCTCCTATCTCTTCCCTTCACCTGCTTCCAGCGCCCGGAAAGCGACCTCGCACCTCGACGCGGACTTGGCCTGATCCTGGTCCCTCCTCCGCCTTGAGGAAGCAGCCTGGGTTGTTCACCTCCCGCCCCACACCTTCCCGCCCCTCCAGACAGCGGCGTGCGGTCCGAGCTAAGCTGACCGAGTAGAAGCAGTCGGCCGGCCCCGTTCCGGTCTGGCTCAGCCAGCCCGGATGCCTGCGGTGGCTTCGGCTCCAACAAACTCCCGGCACCTGCTGACCCGAAGAGGTGGGAGGCCGCGCTCACGTGATTCGTCGGTCACGTGACACACTAGCCGGGCGGGGAGCGCGGGCTGTCCCCGCCTTCGCGGCGACGAGGAACCAATAGGATTACGGCGGTGCGAAGGCTCTGGCCAATGGGCACGAGGTAGGCGGGCCCTCGCCGAGGCCCTTAGCCGGGAGGGCGGCGCGGCGGCCCAGGAGCGTGGACGGGACCGGGAC